TCCTTGAGGTTCCTATTTTCCTTTCCACTGCCTGAGAACAGCCTAGTTACGTGAGTAGACCTGCTGTAGAAACATCTGCCCCAAAGCTCAAAAGTCAGGATGAAAAGTTTACATCTGGATATCCTACTTTCCATGACTTCTTGACTTCTATTTTTGGGAATGCTCAGTGTAGCTTCTATGTACTGCGCTCTGTCTAGAGGAAAGCTTCCACTGAAGAGGAGCAACATGTTATTCCAACCTGGTAGCAGATCATCAAAAGCCTGTTTTGCACATTAACTGCTAATTCTCCTTGTGGAATGCAAAGAGAAACAGAAAACTCACAAAGACCAATTAGGAATCCATGGGAACCTACCAATGTGCTCATTCAGGATTGCACTTACTGTACGAAGTAATTCATGGCCATGCAGAGACACTACTCACTGTGAATGAAAAGTTCACAGTCACAAAACAGTCTTCAGATGTGCCCTGAGACAGATTGTGAATTCCCTCCTTTACCATCTCAGCTGGTTAAAAGCATAGAAACAATGTGCTGGTGTCATGATAAAGGCATGAAGCTCCCTCAGAAAGCCCCAGTACCACCGATTCCAGTGAAAAATATGGGAGTTAACTCAAAATTCCCTCCAAGACATACCCCTATTTCCATCTGTAGGAAAAGTCATGCAGGAAAAGATCCGGTCAAGAGAAGCCATGGACTCCAATGTCAGTACCTTCTGGAAGCTGCTGTACAGAGTCAGGAAGATTAGATGCCCTGAGCTGCAGTCGTAGCACATTTCTTGATTCTTTGCTGCTTTGATAAATCATTTATTAGATCAGCCTTTTTACATAATCCTGAGGGAAAGAAAAAGAAAGAAAAAAAAAAGAAAGAAAAGAAAAACATAAAATAGATTTATCACAAAATCCTGTCCTCCTACCAACCATCTTTGACCAAGACATATATTTCTGTGATTATTAATTAACTAATGCATAGAAACAGCTTCAAGTTTTTTAACCTCTCCCTTTCTCTTTTGTCCTTTAAGAGTGTAGATGATAATGCAGGGGTGGTGCTCAAAACACAGATAGCTTCTTCAGCAAAGGAAGTGCCAGCATATTGCTTTGACCCTGTAGTTACAAATCCAAAAGCCATTCAGGAAGCAAGCACCTAATCTATTTTGTTCTTAGTCTTACGTGTTTATATCCAGCACGTATCAGAAGAGAAACAAAGCTGGGCAAGGTGGCAATAGTTCAATTAACAGAAGACTGCCATATAATTTATCAGTAGATATTTGACCTGAAAAGAGAAAGGAATATGATATTGTTAGCATGGCTTGTCTATCTGCCTACCCCTTTATCAATGTGAAATCTCAGGTCTCAGAATAAACTATAGCTTTTTTCTTTTTGAAGTCCATCCAAATGTCTTCAACAAAATGAATATCATACAGAAACAGGAAGAGCTGAAAACATCAACAACAGGGCATACCAAGACCCTGAAAACTAAAACAGTCAAATTCAAATGAAGATAGAGGTATTAACTGCCCTGTCCCTAGGAAGTGCTTATACTAAAAATGCACAGTTAAAGATATTTGCCCTCCTTCTGCATCCAATATAGCCCCTCGATCCCCAGCAGCTAGACAGTAGAGATCTTCATATTACAGCAGTGGATATCAGGACAACTAAGGATAATAAAATAGCTAATCCAGTCCAGATCTGTAGGCAACTGATATACCAATAGCATCAAAGTACAACTCCCAGCTTCATTATCTGGTCTAAATGAAATATAGTGAGCAAATGCACTTCTGATCTCTCTTATTAGTCCCATTTGTTAAAATGCTGTATTATTTACAGCTTTGCACAGAGTGAGAAAATGGCCTTAGAATTCCATCTTAAAACTGAAGTGATGATAAAAACCAGAGTAGCTTTGTGAGCTTATCTAAAGGCAGAGTTCTTGCAGACGTATCAGTATCCCAGTACCAGGGCTTATTACCCAATTAAAGGTCTGTCTTAGCAAAAATAGACAAATGGTAGACCTCCAACAAATTTGGCAATATTTCTGGTGGGGTTTTCAAGCATTAGGATTTTGATTCAATAATTGATACTACTTTGAGGAGTGACCCATATAGGCATGAGCCAGTTAACCCAGTCCTACCTGAAGCTGTCAGTCCCAACTGCAGAATCAGGTAAACACCAAATAAAACCTCAGTTTAAGCTGAGTACTCATCTTCACTGCAGTCGGTGCAGGTCTCTGCTACACAGCCAGTGGGACTTACAGCAAGATTCATCTGAGCACAGTTAGTTGTGTGCCACCAAAAAAATAAATTGCACTCTACGCTCCACTGACCATATTGGCTAAATCTTCATTGATTATTTTAGGATCCCAAGGTGATTTGCTCATAAGTGGATATATGTGTAGACACACTCTGAATGTATATGTTTAACCAGTAGAAGTACATTGCAACAGGACCAGTTGCAAAAGTAGAAGTCAAAGTTCACATGGAAGCTAGGCTCTCCAAAGACATGACATGAACAGTTACACAGCTGCAGACAACTCAGGTTTCATATTTGGTAGCTGTCTATAATAGTAAATGTACCTGGCTCCTTTGTCTAGCACTGGGTCCAGCTGGCACAGAATGACCCACACCCAAACGATTAAATCCTGTTACTTTCCAAAATATCGTGGCAACATTCAAGCTAAGTACTGAAAACAGTTTCTGTGCTGTGTTAATACAGAGTCCAGAAATTGGAGTTAGGCAAAAGCCAAAACTGTGTCAAGAGTCTTTCTAAAAATTCAGTGGTATAGGTGATTGAGCTTCACTTTCTCTGAACTTCCCTGGCACAGTTTTGGTTTACTGTTAGAGACATAACTGATGAGTCTCAGGCAGGAGTATTAACAGTCTAGAGGTTATTTTAAAAAGAACAGTCTTTTACTATAACTATATTCAAAGACGTGAGTTAGCTAGACAGCACACTTCAAGTTGAAGATCAAGGAAAACATTTCCAAGGATCTTTCAGAAGTATCTGAAGAATAAATCCACTCAGGTGAAAATAGGAGGTGCTCATTTTCTTTCTTCTTGCTGAGATCAAATCACAGAGCACTGTTGACTGATAGATTATTCAACTAGTCAAATGTAAACTGGGAACGTTACCAGCCAGCTTACTGGCTAAGATGTGATTGCAAATCCATTGCCATGTAATAATACTACAGCTCATTACTCACTATAACTCTAGTTTTCTGTCTAGAGACTGATGACTGCTGTGAGGCTTGAGCAACACTTCTGCTCACATCTTCAGAGCTGCAGTGTTGGTACTGCCTCACCCAGGTAGCTGGAAGGATAACTGCACAGAGAGCCAGTTAGCTGGAGCTTTGCTTCAAGAGAGAAGGACAAGGAGGGATGGCTATTTGTTTCATCGGTCTGCCTCTTAAAACCACTTTTGCCACACTTAATAATACAGTTGTCTCACTATGAAGCTGAGATTGTAGGTTTTATGACCTCTCATAAAGCTATATTATTATCCAAAGGCAGGGAATACAGCTTTAATGCAAGACTGAGAAGATGTGTTTCTGTATATGTGTGTATTCTTGTGTATGTGTGTTTTTTTCAAACACAAACCACCCTGTGTCATGTGTGAGGCTTGCTTTCAAGGAGGAACTAGACCAAAGAGGAGGTGTTGCTGAATGCAAACACAGAACAGCCCAAGGCTGTAAACCATGTCCAGTGCTGTTGTCAAGAGCAGGTGTATACCTGGCAGCAAATGCTCAGCATTAGCTTTTTGAGGGGCTCTAAAGCTGTCTCTTCATTTCAGCCTGTCTACTGAGAGACACCGGGTTCCTGGGGCTGATTTGTGCTGCCAGAGCATTGCAGGGGTGGGAAAACAGATGGCTTTGTCTGGAGTGCAGGCTTGTCCAGGCTAGACTTACCTAGGGTTTTTGCTCAGAAATGTTGCTGGCACACACTGACATTTCTGGCAAAGGTAGCAGAAGCAATTCTTATACAAAGTGATGGCCCCCTGCCTCATCAGTATCTCAGTCTCATGGTCACTTCAGCAAAAATCATGTACAGGATGGGCATATGAGGTCTCCTCCTGGGGCTAAATTAAGGAAAAAAAGTCACATTAAAAACTTTCCCCAAAGCTGAATGAGTTTGGTGCATTGCACCTAGTTTGATTATGACCTGTCTTGCCTCTTCTTAGATTCAGATAGCAGGTCTTCCACTGAGACAAAGGATGGCACGTTGGGTGGACTGTAGGTACAAAATTCAATCACTGTGGGTGTTTCTACTGCTAGATGCACTCCACAACTAATTGAATGATATGCTGACAAGGTATGAAACTACCTATAGAAACCATCTTAGGAGAGCACCAGCGTTCATCTTTCTCAATGGCAGCGTCAACATAAAGTAAAGGTCTGCAGTAACTGCCAGTTAATAAAGCTCCTCATATTGCTTAAGTGGCCAACAATCAAACTATTCATGCCAATGAATACCATAATGGAGAGCTTATTAAATTCACATTTTGCTTATATTGCCATAATAAGGAGGTAGTGGTAGGTACATCAGGTTCCCTTCGTTCTGAATATTAGAAGGCAAAGGAAAGGTTATGTTGGTGTGTGAAGGAGAAAGCAATGTACTCTAGTCACTACAGAAGAGAAAAGAACAAATGCCTTGAGACCATGCACCACATCTGCTGACACCCAGCTCTAGGGTAACCCAGACCTTGTCTGTGCTGATACTGTGACACCAGCATCTGAACCTCCATGCTTCACGTAGTCTTATGTCTGAATTAGCACCCAGACCAGGCACTGAGTCCTGGGACGCTGATCTGTAACAACCTCTCCTACCCTCCGTTCCCTACTGGCAACCATCCTCTCCTCACTTTCCTGCCCACCCACACACTCTCCTACCTGCTCACTCCCTCCTTCCCACCACCCTTGAGCCCTTCCCCATGTTCATTCTCAGTGGTCGTTGCATGTACGTGCCTTGGCCCCCTTCAGCACATTAAACCTTCTGCCTTACCTCATGTTTTGACAGGTTTTGTGAGTTTTGACAATCCTGCCAGTGCCCAAGCTGCCATCCAAGCTATGAATGGCTTCCAGATTGGCATGAAGAGGCTGAAGGTGCAGCTGAAGAGGCCAAAGGATGCTAATCGTCCCTACTGAGAAGTTATGGGAACCACTGGATATAAAGCACTAGCACAGGTAACTGCATGGGGAAGGGGGTGTCAGTTGTGGTTGTAGCCTCTCTTTGTGTTGTAGACCCTCAAAAAGATTCAGCTCTGCAACTCTCTGGCTTCTGCCTTTTCCACTCAGGCCTCTGGCTAGAGCCACACCACACAGACACACACCTGCACATAAACGAGGAACTGTTTGTGCCTCATTAGAATGAGAGGTTGAAGGATGCTTAACAAGGGCTCTCCTAGTGGCATCCTGCATCTCTAGAAAGTCTTCCTGGTTGCTAGAAGGGAGGCAGCAGTTATCCGGATTCCTCTTGCTCAGCCAAAGACAGACAGCATTTCTGGTTGCTGAAGAAAATCTGCAATTAAGCAATGGGACTGGGTTGCAATGTAATCCCAGGTGACTGGACTGGCACAGTGTCTGTCTCAATAGCTCTGTGTTGCAAATGTTTCAAAGCATTCTTCATTCTTCATGCAGTGTAGTCTGTATCCAATTTCATTCCAGCATAATAACTATATGTTAATATGTCTTCCTAATAATTAAATAACCCCTAATTTCTTTGTTCTCAAGAAATGAATAGAAAGATCCATGCTCATATCTTGCTTAGATACTGTTAAATTCTGTGTACAGATGAAGCCCTATCAAAGCCAAGGAAGGTTTGAGTGAGGACCTAGACAAATCTGATTGAGGGTCTCATTGTTATACTCACGCACTTTGTGCTTTGGGAAAGGAGACAGCTAATATATGTAAGTGTCAAAAATATCAGAAGCAGAAGCTTGTTTCATTGGAATCCAACCTATCAGCAATAACAAAAATGGGGATGTTTTCAAAAATGGAAATGTTTTCCACTAGCTGGCTTTTCCACCAGATAATTCTTAGAGAAGTATGAATATAGAAGAGTACATGTTTCTTACAGAGATGGGAAGTCTCTCTGCTATTAAAGCCATTCCACACCAGATTGCCGCATAAAGCTAGCACTTTCAGTGGCCCTAAGCTGCAACAAGCAGAGTTTACACTCTCAAATTAGTAACAGTGAGATGGGTTAGGTGACCTTTCTTGGCCATTATGTCCATAACATCTCAGATTCACTGATTTTGATTCAGGTTTTTTTTTTGACCCACCGAGGGTTCAGGTAGAAAAGTCCCTATCTTCAACAGTCTTAAAGAACTACAAAATGATCACATTTTTCACTGATATCTCTAATGTATTTGAAAATACCTCATTCTGGTCTTCAGAGCAGTATCTTTCCTACTGAGAATTAAGAAATGGAATCAAAAAGTCTTTGAAAGAGGTGCTGCGCTAAAGACAACATGAAGCAGATTAAGAAAATGTGCCATAAACATATTAGGTGCATGGGCTAATTTCACAGGGACTTTTAGTATCTCTGTGACAATAATGACTCAAGATACGACCTTCATAGTTCAGAAACTCCTTTATATGTGACTATATCAAGATAATTTCAATGCATTTTCCCTCTTCAAATACCTCTTTTGTTTTACTTGCTTATGGCAAGGCCTCTTGGAAGCTTGAAACCGAAATATGTTTCCATATCAAAATGCTTTTTGCTTCATCACACTGGCTTTTTTAATGCAGGTTTTGCTCGGAAGTGTTGGGGGAGATGCATGCATGCTGTTTTGCTAAAGCAGGGATTGTCTTTGTTGGGGAGATTTTCGATAACACCTGCAAATAGATGAAGAAACGTAAACATCTCCTTAGTTGTGTGGCTCCGAGCAATAGCTTTTGTTGCAGGGCAGCTGTGATCACTGAGGATATGCTTGTTTCTCACGATTATGTGAGAAAGTACAGGGTGTAGACTCCACGGGTAAGAGTCTATTGTGTTTTCCTCATCAGGGATAATTACAAGTTCTCTAGGTCTAGCTTTTCATGACAAGGCTGACTTTGAGGTCTTAGCTTCCTTCCAAAAAACAGCACAACACAGTAGTAGGACTAGGATTCTGGTGGTGATTGTGGTTTTTCCCTAATAATTTATGTGTCAAGGAACCATCAAGTAAAATGACAGTGAAATTTCAAATCTTTCTCCTAGAGCATGTTTTTCTTTGCTTCTGCAAAGCACAAGAACAGTTTTGAATGGTTTTCTCTGCTTACAAAGTCCTTTAACTTTCCAAGCTTTTACTTAGATTTTACTGCTCTGCTTGCCAGCAAAATCACCAGATCAGTGCCTCTGCCACTCTTAGAAGCATAGAGTCCCTACCAGAACTTAGTAGATGCAGTTCAAAGGTCCTTATTCTCACATAGACTCCCATCTTGAGGAACCCATTGAATGAGCTGAATATATACCTGTCTTTTAGCAGAAAGGAGTTATTCTGGAAGAAAGCTTTGCATACGGTTGCTTGGGAATTTATTTTGCACCTCACAAAAGAGATTAGCCATGTGTATGTGGCCTCAGGTGGGCACGTAAGGAGTGTATCCCAAGGAAGGATCTGATTTAGTGTAGGAACTACTCTATTGGATTAGACTGAAGAGGACAGTTAGTGACAGGAAGGGCTTAGATCCAGATCTCTCTTGAACTCATTTGATTTCCAGTGCTATGAGATCTCCATACCAGCATCCTAAGCAAACACAGAATCTTTGGTCATGGTGGCCCAGTACATCAGTTTTCAGACTGGCCTCAGGGCTAAACCCTCACAAATTAACTGTACTTAGAGAAGGGTCAGTTGTCTTTGACTCAGCATTACAGGATCACAGGATCACAGGAACACCAAGGTTAGAAAAGACCTACAGGATCACCCAGTCCAACCATCCACCTATCACCAATAGTTCTCACTAAACCATGTCCCTCAACAGAAAATCCAAATGTTCCTTGAACACCTCCAGGGTCGGTGACTCCACCACGTCCCTCACCAGTCCATTCCAGTGCCTGACCACTCTTTCAGGGAAGTAGTATTTCCATTGTGTTAGTGTACCCCCATGCCTGGTTTGATGTGCAAACTCCAGTCACCAAAATCCTATTGGCAGTCAACAATTTGTCTACTCAGTAGACTGACAATGCAGCAATAAGTTTCCTAAAACCACCAGCACAGAAGTCAGCTAGGTCTGCATGTCCACAGTGCAGATAGTTATTGCAAAGCATGTGAGCTCCCTTAACTGGCTGAAATACAGTAACTGGTTTTTATTTTCTTTTGCTTTGGTCACTGCTCATCAGGGCCCTTAGTTCCAATTTGAAGCATGTGAATAACCATACTGACATTGGGGCAGTTATTCATGTGCTTGAAGTGTGTGCTCAAGAAACTTTTTAATTGGGATTTTTCTAAGAAAGATCTTTGTTTTATCAAACTCCCTTCCAAAAATAAGAAGCTTGCAACAAAAAAACAAAAGCAAACACCCAGCTTGATGTAATCCACTAGAGAGTTTTTTCTCAACCAAGAAGAAAAGATCTTCACTCTGTTTTAATTCTGAATGCACTTTTTCTTTAATTGATAAATCTCCCTTTTGGGACACAAGTAGCCTAGTCCTTTGTTTTTCTTGGAAGTGCTCTAAAGTTGCTGTCACACAGTGAAAGTATCTCTGTGATGTGGCAAATAAGTCCACAAGCTGCAAAAGAAAAGCTCTGAAGAATTCAGAAGTCAAAATATTTTCAAAATGGCTGCTTCTCTTCTCTTTTTCCTTTATAATTAAAGAAGTGGTTATAGCAGCAAAAAAAGAAAAAAGAAAGAAAAGAAAGAAAAAAGGGGAAAAAAAAAAGAAAGAGAAAGAAAAAAAGAAAAAGAAAAAGAAAAAGAAAAAGAAAAAGAAAAAGAAAAAGAAAAGAAAAAGAAAAAGAAAACGAAAAAGAAAAAGAAAGAAAAAGAAAAGAAAAGAAAAGAAAAAGAAAATAAAATAATAGGGCTGGGAGAATAGAAAGAAAAAGAAAGAGGAGGATCATTCGAGGCAACTCTGCCAAAATCAATATATTCTATTACAAATCCCCCCTTAGGACCAGAAAGCAAAGATTCAAAGGCACTTCATATGTCTTTCAGATAGTAAATGCATGAAATAATGAAGAAAAAAAGTACTGAAATCCACGGCTCACTTGGGTGGCCATTCCTAGGAGCTTTTAAGTACACTGCAGTATAACTAAATTGCTGATGCGCAGAAGAGCAGTGAAAATTCTGTCCAGATTCCTCCTGTGGCTCCGTTTCATAGAATCTTATCAATCGCTTGGGTTGGAAGGGACCTTAAGGATTAACAGGTTCCAAGCCCCTGCCACAAGCAGGTTTGCCAACCACTATATCAAATACCAGATCAGCTGCCCAGGACCCCTTTCAACCTGGCCTTTAACACCTCCAGAGACAGGGCATCTCCAACCTCTCTAGGCAGTCTGTTCCAGCACCTCACTACCCTCTCATTTCAGTGACCAGTCATTGGAAAACTGTTATTTTCCACCTCAGATACGCTACTATTGAAGTTTTATTCAAAGCTAAAGATGGAGAGATGTGTCTAAATTGAAGTACTGACTGGCATGAAACTGAGTGGGACAAAGTACATGTGAGTGACACAGAGTGAGTGGGGTGGAAGTGATACTGAAGATAGGAAAAAAATAGCAGTATGTTTTTTTATAAGCTCCTCTCCTAAGAAGAGTAGTGGCAAAGCATTAAGAGAATGCATTGTCCAAGTAACCTCCCTCTTCAAGAGGAAATAACATGGAGCAAAGTTTGAATACAAAAGAAAAGATGTCCAGGTCCTTCCTTACAGCTTCCTGAACACGTGCTGATATGTGATTTACTGTAGAATGAGTGAGGTGCTTGTTTTCACAGCTGGCTGGAATAGGTGATGATTTTTTTCCCATAGGAATTTATTTTTTTTCCATTGGAATATATATGTTACCAAATAAAGGCAGAAAGCTTTGCATTTTGAACTTTCTTTGACAAGAAGAAAACAAACAAAAACAAATTTCAGAATAAGCAGACATTATCAGACAAAACAATCAAACAAACAAGCAAAATTCCAATCACTCATGACAAGAAAAATGACAGAAGAAAAATGAAAAACAAAAACAGAAACGGATGTA